GGTGGCATTTTGGAGGCTTTGCGTGAGCCATAGATCAAAAAAGAAAAGAGAGATTTAAAAAAAAAAAAAAAAACTAATTGTGGAGGCCAACAAATTGTTAGGCAGGTTGAAGTGAAACGAGATATTAATTTTGATGCCAACAAAGCAGAGCATAGATTTATTTAGAAACTAGACTGAATGAGAAAGTACAGCTTCAAAGAAAATGCTAACACTCATATCTCCTCCAAAGAGCCAGGATAAAGCAAAGCTAGACTCCCTGCATAATAAATATCAACATTCTTCATTGATGGCGAGGAGCATGGTTGCGTGCGTGGGAAAGCATGTCCATATCTTGGCAGGCTTGACTAAGGGTTGGGGAGAGCCATGGCAGGCCATGAGGAATGATGACCTCTTCTCATGCAATGGCACATTCCTGCCATAACTAAGTTGCAACAGGCCTGGGATAACTATAGCAGGCAGCGTGTAGTCACAGCTTGGTGGAAGTTAGGGGAAACTGCCACCCACCCGTCTGCAAACTTTCTGAATAGCCTAGCTAAAGCTATCAATGCTGTTGGACCTAAAAGATTCAAAAGTCAACCTGACACCATTTTAATGCTTGATCTGTTCCAACAGCAAGTCATGAAACTAAATTAATTCAAACATTTGATCTGTTCTTGGGATGTAGGCCAGTAAAGAAACAAGTAGAAACAAGTCATTGTCATTTTTTGTTCCAGTATTGTAGGAATTCATGTTTTTGTTAGTTTTTATATACGGTGCTAAAATCCTGTAGATGAAAACTGCCTGACTCAGTATTTGTCATTCTTAAAAAATGTGCCAATAACTAAGCGTGCCATTCTAATGAATATATTTTAGAGTGGCCGGTTATACCTGAGAGACTCACTCTGAATAATAGTTAAAGAAATGGATGGAGAGAAAGCTGACCCCCGGATCATTTCATATTGACGTTTCAGACGTCTGCGACTCCCTTTGTGAAATTCATTTCTGCTGTCTGATGTACTCTGATGGGAACTCCGACAGCTGCTTGTTTCCACAGTCCACTTAGTGGGGGAGAGTCAGAAACCGAGAGAGAGGCAGAGCCGGAGTGTGATGGGAATACATGTTTTAGATGCCTACTATTTATTGATCACCACTGACCTTGCCTCCATTGACATGAAGGGCTTCAAGGACGGGCTAGGTCTAGCTTTTTCCACTTTCACACTACATTTCCAGGAAGCTAGATACTTTCTGTGGCCTAATTGATTTAAACCTTATCAATGGGGTCCTAATGGGAAAACTTTACATTGTTTACTGCTGGAGCTAGAGAGCAAGGGCACTTTTAGTGAACATTGTTGACGTGGTAACTCTAGAGGTAGAAAGCACAGGACAAATTCTAATCCATTTATCAAGGACAATCGCAGTGGGGAAATGCAGCAATCAATAAGTAGAACAACTTAAAGAGCTTTCATGAGTCAACAGTGTGTAATCTTGATGGATCTATACATATATGCTGCCAGTCAATATACACTGGCTTTCAGAGTGCTCAGAAAACCCACAGGGAGTCAAAGTGGTACAAGTGGCCTCTGTTTGCCACCGGCATCTAAACAGAACATTAGAAAGTGTGGTAAAACCTAAACCAATTTCCATGTTCCCCTTCCTTTTTGAAGCCACTGCTGATATTCTAGCACTCATTTCAGCTGATGCAGATAAGATATGCAGTTTTACAGTCTGCATGCAGATGAGGGTTACACAACAGATCAAGTATCTTAAATGACTATCTTAAATAGTTAACTGACTTTCTAACTGAAAATGGGGCCTAACTTTATTATCTGGCTAAATTATGCAGAGAAAAAGACCATATATCACTGGTAAAAGAATATTAATGATAGTGTGAGTTGCAATTTGCCAAGAATCGTACTAAGCTGCTCATAGATTTAATGTTTAGATGCAACATTGAGTTTCTGAAGAAAGCGTTTGAAAACTTTGAGTTCCTCATTCACCACCCTATTTGTCAGAATTTTTTAACTCTGGACAAGAGAAAATCTGGGTATAAGGTTGGACATGTAATCTGAAGTTAATCAAACACACATCCCTCTGAAAGCCTTAAGATCTTTTTAATGAAACAATCCTTCTTTAAACTACTGCCAGAACAGCATGAGAACAAAAGACATTACCTCTTCACAGCCCGGCTTGCACTAAAGAATTTGGAAGTTGAATTTTTTTTAGAGCCAGCATCTAAAGGCTGTTACAAGACCTGCATTACAATTCACCTGTATTCCCACTGCCCTTAAACAAACTTTATTATATCTAATTTTACAATGTGAATCTAATATTTATCTTTCTAAAAGGGAAACCCCTTTAAAAATACTCCCAGATCAGCTAAACAACTTCGTTTCACATGACCAGTGTCTGGCACTGATCATTACAGCTCTATCCCAGTGGGAATGAACATAACTTTAAGTAGCTCTGTTATTGCCTAGAGAATAATGAATCTGTAGAAACCCCAAAACAAAGGATTATCTGAGAGTTCTGTTCCTGCTGAACATGTCCATGTCTGTTATCCCTAACAAAGCCAGGACTGTCAATGCTTGGGGAATGAACAAAAAAAAAAAAGACTTGAATAAAAGGTTCATAATCAATGATGAAAGCTTTATTCTTATTTTTTGACAAAATCAGCTGCTCTTGAACAGTGAAGCACACCTTTCAGATACTACTAATGTGATTAAATGCTCCTAAAATAACAAAATATGTTCAAAATAAGGGCCAAGGTTACAGTTAAGTGTTTACACTGCATTTGTTCTAACGATCATAACCAAAAGACGAGCTCAAAATGAGGAAAATTGATGGTCCTTGACTGGAGTTTTCATTTGTTGTGTGCTTCAAGTTTCTGTTTTAGATTTCATCTGCTTGAACACAGAAAGCTGTTGGAGAGAGGGGCGAGTCAAGTGTATAGCAGCAGGATGCTCTGAAATCAACTGGATGGTGTTTGTGAATAGTATTCAAATTTCTGGATCAAAAATAAACATATTAATTCTGTTCAATCCTGAAAGCAACGCATGAGGGTCAATACCTTTTGCATCACAACACACATGTTGGCATTGGCAACTGAAACACATCTCCATAGATAGTTATTATCCTACACAACCCCACCCCCACCTTCCCCTACCCTTCGCTAATGAAGTTCCCCAGTGAAAAACAAGTGTGGATGCCACGTTCTTCATTCAAGCTAATGATGACACTTTCAGTGAATCAGCATTTTGAAGATAATTATGCCGAATACAAGCCTCTGAAATAATCTCCCCCAAAGATCCTCTGATCCTCCATGAGACTAGATGGTGTGGGGCCCATCGGTGAGAGCCTGTGAACACAGAGTTATGTGTCGTGGCTGGTCTGGACTCAGCTAAAGAGCTGGCAAATCCAATTACCCTCAAGCCATTTCAAAGTCTGTCTAAAGACAAATGTGGTATTTTGCTATGGTGCTTATTAAAGCTTGACACAGCACATGATGTTTCCACAATAATTACATTAGACTACCATGACACCCTTAATATCTACATGTTGAAACAGTGAAATACTGTTGTTATTTTTTTCCAAAACATATTGTCACATAGATAGAGATAGAAATACTATAAATGACTGCTGGTGCAAAAAAATCTACCGCTGATGCAGTATCAAGGAAAACAAAACAGACAAATAAGATCAAATGTGTCAAGAAAAGAAAGAAAAAAAACATGGAAATATGTAGTATGAAGGTGCAGTGACAAGCATCTTGTCAGTAAATGCAAAGGAGCGCACTGAGATGACACAAAATAGCAGTGCCAGTCATCAAAGTAGAGGTAGCAATAACTACCAAAGCAGAACCGAAACAAAACACGTCCAGAAATAGTTGCTGTGCTTTGTAGGTGACGTGAAGCTACACTTCTGAAATACCAACACTCATGAAGTCATGAAGTCAGGGAGGATGAAATCATTTCCCAGAAGGTGAAAACGAGTGTCTACTAAAAGGAATCACTTCATTTCAATTGAATTATTTGAACATGGCTTGAATGTAACTCCAAGAAAGTATTCTTTAACAACTGAGTCGTTTTTGCAGCACTGGGTTTGTGTGTGTGTGGGGAAAAAACATGGACATGTTTTTGACTTTTCCACCTGGTCATGAGTGCTTTCACAATGTGATACAAAGTTGTGCCTCTCAGTTTGAGTGGAAGTGGACAGATTTCACCCAAGTACAGCTGTGTTCTGGATAAACCCACACCAAATTAAGGACATGCACACCCATGCCCACAACAGCCAAGTTAACAGGGTGAGGTTGTTAAGCAGTTTGACAAATCTGGCTCCTTCGTGGCTGCAGTTCTGTGCCAAAGCAGGAGAATATTGGTCACAGAAAAGAAGATTTATGGAGAAGCAGGCACAAAGGCAAAGAACTAACAAACCTCAGCCTAGGCAGTGAGGGCAGAAACTGAAACAAACAATATGGCCTTCCACTCTCCATGTGCCAGCATGACTAACCCTTTGTGTAACAGGCTAAGTCTACTATAAATATTACTTAAAGTCAGGGATATCCGAATGCATAACACAACATAAGTAGTCTGTCTGTGAAGAGCCCGGCTTGAGAATGGTGATTTTTAGTCAATAATGCCTTTTTACTTGCCTTGTTGAAGTGATTTTTCAGGTGGTTGTGCACTGATGTTATGTTTCCCTGTGGTGCTGCAATTTATTTGTACAACCCAGCATTACTCATGCCTCAATGGCCTTTACATGGCCACAACAGCAATAGTTCCCAACCCCTGGCCAAGCTCTTAAACTAGAAAAAAAAAGAGGAAAACTCCATAAAGAAACCCTCAGCACATAAAGTGGTATAAAACAGTTGTCGTTTTTGATGCACAGTAGCTTAGAGAGGAAACTGACGGAAGTGTTGTCGTGCACAACGAGACTGCATAACAAATTGAACCAGCAGTTCTAATATGATTAATTGTGAAACCCCGCAGGCAATAGCAGGAGACCAAAATTCTGACTTGTCTTACCTGCTAGGCTATGTGGTTCTGTGTTCCCTTCAGTATTCTCAGGCTGAAAGCACCAGGACTTGCTGATTCAGACGAAGCCACAGGGCATCTTAAGGCTGCAGCCAGTTTTCCTGCAGACAAGGGAAGAGGGCAGATGTCAGCCTAATGTCACCATGACATATTCCTTTGAGACCCTTCTTTTGAGAAGTCAGAGATATAGACTTGTGAAAAGAAATGATTTTTAGTTTTTTAGTTTTTGTTTTTTAGAAATGACAACCTAACAACAGGACTAAAATCAAGAGAAGCACAGAATAATTTATGATCTGCACATGTTCTAATTGTTCCAGCTACTTGTTAATATGTTGTCTCGTACAGCAAATCCTTAAAAAAAAATAAAAAAATAAAATAATTATGAATTTATGGCTGGCTGGATGGATGGATGGATGGATGGATGGATGGATGGATGGATGGATGGATGGATGGATGGATGGATGGATGGACGGATGGACGGATGGACTCTAAGTGTCACCGTTTTTATTTATCTGATTTCAACAGAGAGAAAAAAGTTTTGCACTACAATCTTGATTTCAGTACAAGGGCCACTGAACACTTGTTGCTGCACATAAATGAGCAGAAGGTAGAGCTGAGAGAGTTCAGACATTTGTCAAAGAACTAGCAGGTTGGTCAGTCTAATGCCTGACTAGCACTTCCAGAGAAAGTGACTAAGGTGAGGAATGGCAAGGAATGGTGAGGTGGAAGTACAGTATGGTCATCCCTGCAGAGTGAGCTGCTCAGCGATCTTAACTGAGAATAAAACTAATTTGAAGCAGCCTTTGTATGTGCCTGTTGTAATGTGTGTGAATTCTGTAGTAGGAGTAGGAAGAGGGGTATAAAACATTAGATTTTATGTATGTATGTATTCATTGTATGGGTGGCTGAAAGATTATTTTATATATGTGAAGTATTCAAATGTGTTTTTTATCTCATCTGTTTAAAGTTTCACTGTAAAGCCTAATGAGTTTACCTTTGTATGAAATATTGTATACAAATAATGCTGACTTGGCTGTTAAGTTTGTGGCTTTTAAGCAGGTGGAGGACTTAAATTAATATCCAGCTATCCTCATTGTCACTAACAGCATGAGCACAGTGCAGGAACAAGATCACACGCTATCTTGGAGCGAGTTAAAGACAGGTTCAGTAGTTACAGATAAGATAAGTTGTTTCTTTTTGTGGTCAGTGCCTTTCTATGAGGCACCAAGCAGAAAAACACTTCTCCTCTTGAAGTCTGATCATCTTCATAAACATTCTTATCACCCAGCCAAAAAATCATTGTGCATTAATAATGCCGGCAGACTAACAAGCCATTCCAAAGCCATTCTCCATAACACTGTCACGTCCCAACTCTCATTAAAAGCCATGAGTCAACAGAAATTAGACTTGAACCACTCCCCTGCCCTAAATTCATCCCTGCAGGCATGGCATTCTGGTTTCGCCCTCTTATACTGTAGTCTGCTCAGGCAAGAAACCAAGCTATATAAGGAATTGTTAGTGTAGAGCACAGTTAGTGGCTCCAAACTATTAAAGCCAAGGGCTTAGAGGTGGGAGTCTGTTTACACTGAAAGCTGTTTTATTTTTTGTTTTAAGAGGGTCCACTTGCTAAACATGACTCGGCCTTTAATGTATAATCCAACACTAATATTGGCTGGCAGTGGGCAGAGGCTCGGGGGGAGGTGAACAGGGTCGGTCTGTGAGAAAACATGCAGGTGTGCGTGTTGTACACATGTCAATATTTAGGTGGGAACCCACATGTTTTTGATGAATATGTATGCTTGGACTCAAACTATTATTTTTTATTTGTGATTAATCTTCAGAGTATTTTCTCAATTTCTTGACTGTTTATATAACATTTTAGAAAAAAGTAAGGTATCAGCAGCCTAAAACACTAAGACATTCAATTTACAAAGACATAAAAAGAGAAAACTAGCAAATCTTCACATTTCTGGAGCTGCAACCAGAGAAAGCCAAAATCGAATAAACTTGCATACATAAAGAGCGGCAGTCTCAAAAATACAGAAGAGAAACTAAGAGACTGAGACACCAAAGCTCCCAATAAAAGTCAGACTTTCAAGTTAAACTGCAGTAAAAAGACTAAATTGCCCTATATACCCTGAATAAAAAAAAGTCTAATAAATATGACTAGAGTCTGGCCAATTCTCCCCTGGGCTTCCTTTTAGTCCTGGATTTAGCCTTGACCACTTCCTTCCTCTGGCTCTAATGGGCAGTACACGACTGTATTTTTGTGTCGGCAGATAGCTAAACAGCTCCATGTGTCTCTTTATGGCAGTTAAGCAATAGTAATCAGGACAGATACAGAGCTGAGCACACCACGCCACTGCTACTGTGAAATGCAAACTGTTTTATTGCATCCCTAACAGCATTACTGCAGTTTGCAGCCGCTCCTTGAGCTGTGCCTGTATTGTAATGGCTCCACAGACATTCCAGATTTACAAGCTGCTGTCATGAAGCCATGATGGACAATCTTTCATTCATAAAGTTCGGGGAAATGATAACTCCACAACCAAAACCGAAAGTCTGAGCCAACCTGCCAGGGCATTGCAGTTGAGAGTGTAAGATTTTGAAGGTTAAGATGTGAGCATTGGACAACATTCATGTGCACTGGGCCTTTGATCTTCAACTCCAGCTAAGGCTAAGAGATCCCTATGGGAAGGAAACATGCCAAGCTCAACAGAACCTGAATCTTTGCAGGAAACTGAGCCCCAAACCACATATGACATTATCGTATTAGGTTGGAAGCATGTAAAGTTTCAAAGACACTGACAAGCCAGCTTATTACAATTCTGTTCACGTGAAACAAGCCATGGCTAAGGGATCTAATTGAAAGAAAAATAGTGTACAGCTATTTCTGCCATTAAAAACACGATTGTAAGGAACTGCCTATTTTTTTTCTGTTGACCAACACTGTTACTGAGGCAAGACCCTCTTTTCTGGTCAGCCAGTTTTATTTTTGTGGTGACCAAAACACACATTTTTACATAAATAAAGTACATTTTCAGACTGCAAATTACACTAACAGATGAGAAATAGAAACAGTGTGGTCCTGACGTTCACAAAACATTCTCATGTCTGCATGAAACGCACATGTGTTCGTCCCTCACAGGCATGTGTCTAGATGGGTTGTGTGTCCCGGCTAAATAGGCTGGGAACCCACAGGAGAGGCAGCTGACTGCTTGCAATGGTCCATGGAGCATGTCTTCAGGCCAAGATCCTGTTCCCAAGACGACAACAAGTTCACCATGACCTTTACAAGTGGCTGGAAAGTCTGGTATGCCAAACAAAAAGAAAAAGGTTTCAAAGACGAAAATCCAGTCTCCATAAAGTTCTACAATGTATTTACTAATACACTTATGAATGCACAAACATTTGTCAGGGTTGCTAGTTAAACAACTGGACCATCAATTGCAAAAATAATGCCAAAATTGTTTTAAAATAACATCAACAAAAGACTTGCACGTCTGCCTCAACCTACCCCAACATAAGCCAGCCACTCTGTCTCCTTGGTAAAAGGATTATGTCAAGACTCAGGATCTTGTAGTCTAAGTAGACTCTGACAAGTGACTTAGTATATAATATTTGTGGAAGAATAAGCATGAAATCCAAAATGACAAGACAAATGACTGGAATGGAGAGCTAGTAGTACATTAGCCATGATGTCATTATTGTGCATCTTGGAGCCAGGGCAGAAAAAGCATCAGATCTGATCTGAGAGCCAAAGTCTTGCATCACATTTAGATGCCATCAGACACTATATTTAAATATGATTCTGCAGGAGGACAAAAAAAGGAGTCTGACGTCTCCTGGGTACATGTTACTTAACGAGATCCTCTTTTATCACAGTGTTTACAAGATATGTTTCCTATTTCTTCCTTCAGTAATATTTATACATTTTCTCCATCTATGTTCCTCCTCCAACTCCCCGACTTTCTTTTCCCCCCTCTCTCCATAAGGTAATGCCCACTGTTCGGCTCCCAGGGTGGGCAGCTGGCTCTACATCTGACACATCTGAGGACAAAAGGGAAACTCCAGATTGTCGTGGTGAGGGCAGCCACCCGTGGCAGTGCTCAGCAGGATTCCGGTTGTTTATGGTTGGCACTAATTACAGAGACGGCAAACTCACTAAGCTTGAGAAACTCCAGTTGGTACAAAGAACTGGTTTTGACAGAAAAACGCGGAGTGACCATTAAAACTGCCTCCACTTGCAGCAAGCCAGATAAAACATGGAGTGATGTAAACTCAATAGGGCGGCTTAAAGACATCACTCAGGATCAAGCTGAGACTCCCTGGGGAGTCACTTCTGCAAGTGCACAATGTTTCTGTTTTATTGCTACCCTGAAGCATGTTGTATTCAGTATACAGGGTAGGAATGTATAGAATTTAATTCAAAGTGCAGGCTGTTGTAAACCTAATCATGAAGATAATATCCCACTTGCAAGCTCCATGTCTCACTTTATAGTCATTATAGAGGCAGTGTTTGGAAAGTGTTGCATTGAGCTTTGCAGGGAACCCCAGAACAAGATTTTTTTTATGAAATGAAAGGCCTGAGGAGGGTCAATGTCTGTGATATTGAATCAGTAATAGAATTCAATAACTTCAGTCAAGCTGGAGCCACACTTAGTACTATCATACAGCTGCTACTGACTGGTGTGTCCTTTCATTAAAACGGGTATTGAAAAGAAATCATCCAACAGCCAATAGGAGAGGGACTCTACTGATAAGACAGAACCCACTTTTTTTTTAGGAAATGTCAAGCTTTACAAAGATCTAGTTACATGTTTTCACATCTCTTCACCAAACTGGGAGCTGTTCCACAGTCTTCCAGTCATTTTTCTTCAAAAAACTAAAGCATTAAAGACAAAATTGGTAGACATTGGATCTCATGCACCCACATTTTTACACCATACGCAATCGTGACAATCGTGTGCACACGTTTTCTGTTGCCTACAAAGGTTTGACTGACAAGTTTAAAGCAAGCTGGACACCAGAGGAGGGCATGTGTATGAACAGTACAAGTGACTACGAAAGCTAAAATCTCGACAGGAAAAGAAGTGGCCTT